CGGGCCGCGGCCGCCCCGGACGCGGGGCGGGGCGGGGGGCCGGGCCCGGGACGGGCGCCTGGCTGCACGCCGGCCTGACTTGTGGCCTCGCGAGGCGGTGTGGGGGTTCCGTGGTCCGGGGGTCCCTGCTTCTCTTCTTGCTCTCTTTGGCTCTCTGACAGTGTCTCCTGAGACGTCGGCTCAGAGCCGCGCGGGCGCTCCCTCCCTCAGCCCAGGTAGGTGCTTGGAAGGCGGGTAGCGGCGAGCAGCCTCCCCCGGCCCGGGCGCTCCTGCCGCCGCCGCCCGCTGTGCCCCCACCCCACCGGGGCGGCCGGGACCGCCGCTTTCGGCTTCCCTGTCCCAGCTGCTCCAGGAGCGGAACGTACCTGTGCTCCAAAAACTTAGTCTTTGATACCGGCTGACGCTCGCTGACAGCCTTTTAAGCTGGCAAGTGAGTGACACTTGTAGTTTTTTCTAAGGGACTTCAGATTAGTCATTGGTTTAAGGAGTTAAATTTTTGCACTTTTCTGATTTGGATCAACAGTGTGTTCAGTGCTGACTTAGGGGAAACTTTGAGTTTATCAGAAAAAAACCAATGATCTGCTTGCATTTCTCTTGAAGACTAAAATGTTTCTGAGTTTATAAACTTAGAGCAAACTATGAGTTCAGGCAGATGTGTAGGTTATCATCAGAGCTGACCATACAGTTGCATTGTAGACCATGCCTTTAACTTTCTCTCCTTATCAGCAAGTAAGCCTTTGTGGCCCTGTAGCTAGTTTTAACCAGAGGAACCATAAAAAAAGTAATATTGAGAGGGCCTAGTGTTTCAGTAAGGAGTTCAGGCAGATGAGAATATTGGTATAGACAATACCTGAAGTACTGGGAAGGAGATGGAATAAGTACACCGCACAATAGAAGCTTATTTGTTCATCTTATCACATGTCGCATCCTTGGGTAGTGTTTGGGTGCTTTTTATTCATTCCTGATTATTCTGTTGGGATTCCCTTCCTCATTCTCAAAAAGCAGCAATGATACCCTCAAACAAACGAGAAGACCCTGGTGACAAAAAGGGCAGATGCGCATATGGTTTGAAGTCATCTGAACATTTTTCTAGCATTAGTATTTCTTGGCAGAGGAAATTTGGGTATTTTGCCTAGGGTGTGTAACACTTTCCAAATCTTTTTTTGAACCACAGAGAAACAGCATGATGAAAATGTGACCCAGTGTTTTGTTGCACTCTGCTCTTTGCTGCTAGTGGAAAAAAAAAAGCGTTGAATTTGGAAATGCCAGAAGAAGGCAATGGAGATCCAACCCAGGAAATGTCACTTACCAAGAGGGACCAAGGCAGATTTGACAGATGTGAAAAGTTTTCTTTGAGCCCTGACTTGTGATTTTTTTTTCTCAAGGACAAGCGGTTTCCTCCTCAGCTAGTTGTTTGCACGCAGTTCCCTCTTGGCAGTTACCTGCTGCCTTGGTTTCACTCGCTGTGTCCAGCCATTGCTTAAAGAAGTGATTCACCTTAACAAGAGCCTTTTTACCCAGATGAACCTCGTTTCCATACTAACTTCAAAATAGTGATGGCAGTGTAACAAAAAGTGAAAGTGTTGTTAGAACAATCTTGGATCAGTAAACTACAGTTCCTGTAGGAAAACCCTGGGTACCTTTTTCAGACGGTAATCTAGAAAGGTGTGTATGTTTAAAATTTTCTGTATCTTTTCTAAGGGGTATCCATAACTCTCACAAGTACAGGCGTTTTATTGTCGGGGTGCTTTCCTCAGGAGAGTTTGGAGTGGCAAAGGAGAGCTGGGAAGGACAGGACTGGGAGGCAGAGATAGCCATTCCTCTGGTCCTGTCTTCCTTGGCCCCAGTTTCTATATCAGAGTTCCCACTCTGTGCAACAGCACTGCAGATCTCACTTGAAGATGTAAAAGAGAGAGATGTCTGCTGGCTTGTCCTTTAGCTCTGTGGATGAGTGGAAGGTTCTGGTCTGAATGCACCCCTTCTGCCTCAGAATTTTCCAAGAAAAGCTTGCTTTCTTATCCTTGTTTGAAGGATAAGAATCCTCTGAAGACAGAATCAGGATTTTAATCCAAGTAAACGAAACTAGTTTCACTTTTATTTTTCCTTACCCTAACTCAAGAGTTGCATGCTCTTGGCACATGTGCTTTTAAAAGTGACCCATGTGTTCTTTCACATCCCACTGGAGTTCATCTGATTTTTATAGATGGAATTCAAGACCTTTTTTTGGGGAAAGAGTTTGAGCTCTGAAATCTAGGTTCAGTGCAAAAACCTGGTAATTGTTGTGACTTGCAAACTGAAAAAATAATAACATTCTCTATTCAAGTGAATGTCCCCCACCTCAACACAGAGTAGGGAAGTTGAGCTGAAATTCTGATCTTGAAGCTCAGGGAAGGAAAATATAGAGCTGAGACTACAAACAGGGTGTGCAGTCAGCGATTGCTTCGCTAACTAAAATCAATATAGAGGAAAGTGCAGAAATAAAGGGGAACTTAAGTTAAACTTAAAAATACTTCTCCAAGTACTAATTGCATAAACAGTATAACTGCTAATATGTAGTTTTAGTGTTCAGTGCTTTAAACTATTAATGGTTTTCTTAGAAATTACTGTTTGGACTTTACTTCCTAATCTTAGTTAATTGGAGGGAGGAAAAAAGCCCTGAATGACTAAAGTTCCTGATTAAAACAGCTTTTTAAAAACACAGATCTAATCAGTGCATTGATAAAAGATAAACCAATATTAATTGTGACACCAGGATATTACCAGTGGGAATGTGATCACCAAAAGTCATCCTACCGATAAGAAAAATGGTTCATATAATTAAAAGCTTCTCAAGGAATTTGACATCTTTCTCCTGTATTTTTTCTTCTACTGTACATATTTCACTTAAATTTAGTAGAGGAAACCTAAATCCTGAGTGTTACGTAGTAGTTTGGAAGTCTTTGTAGTTAAATTTGGAACCTGTAATGTGTAGAAAACTGTATCTGAAGAAGGTGGTTATGTGGATTAAGTTAAGGAGATCTTAAAGGTGACTGCTGTTCTTCTTAAAAGTGGTTGAAATTTCATACATTTTTTTAATTCCCTCAATTTTTAGTTACTCAGTATCCACATTTGTACCAAGTTTCCTTACAGTTAATTAAGAAGTGTTGATTTAGGATCATGCATCTCTTAATTTTGATTAATATTTTGAGGTCTCTTACTTTATGTGACTAAAGCATAGTGGGAGCCTGATCATTTCCTGCTCGAAGCTGTGTGAGCTCCAGATTGTAAATCATCCAGAGGTGGGTAAGGAAATGACCAGGTAGAAAGGATTGATGGCAGGCAAAAATGCAGTTACATCAAGCAGTTAAACCCTCTCCCCACGCAAGCCCCTAAAAGAGTCATTAAGTTAGTTTCGGAATGAGGAGTCACTTCATGGTTGCCCCTCTGGTGACTGAGGCAAAGGTTGTGGGACAGGGATACCCACAGGGTGCCATTGCTGTGCGTGCACAGGGAGGCAGAACTAAGGTTGCAGGGTGTCTGCACCCCACGTTTCCTCACATCCCAGTTTCACAATCCAAGTGACTGTCGTGTGGTCTTTGAACCAACTTTCTTTGCCAGTGGGGAAACTGAGCCCTGCCTGCAAGGGTAGCGCAGCTGCCTTCCACGACACAAGCCACCACTAGCATTGATATTTTGGCCCAAGGCCTGCCCTGGAGAGGGAAGTCATGTGTTTATGTTAGGAGAATGAGACAGGGAGTCTTAGAGGTGTAAGGAGACAGCACAGCCTGCCCCAAGAACAGCAGGGATGAGGTGCTAGGGCCAGAAAGTCTGGACTCTTCCTCCTCCTGTGGCAGCAGAGTTTGCTGCAAAGCCTGCTGGGGATCCTCTCTGCCGGCTCTTAGAAACCTCTGTCCTAGTACTGGTTGGTGGTGTTGTATGGAGGAGGCAAGGGAAAGAAACAGCAGCTTCTCCAAAGGTGCTCTCCTGTGGATGAGAATTCAGGGTTGCTGTTGTTTTTGCCAGGACTAGACTATGAACACTGTTTTTCTGAAAGTGAAATTTACCTCTTCCTGGAGTAAAAAGAGAGGTGTGGGGTTTGGGTTTGTGTTCATAATGCTAGTTATGCTGTATAACACTCGATGAGAGGCAGGCATGATGAGCAGTTTATATTTGAGCTGCTACTAAAGGCTGTGTTATACTGGCATATCCTTAGCTGTAGCAATGCTACTTGGGCCACTATTGCCAAGTGCCTGATACATCACAAAGTGAAGGCAAAGCTGTGACATGCATAAGAATGAAGAGTGGGGTGAGTCTGTAACACTCCTATACTCTGAAATAACTTCTGCTTTGTCAGTTGGTGATGAACTTTTTATGATCCAAGGTGTGTCACACTAATTTTGAACATTAAAGATGCATCAACTCTTTTATTTCAGTGCCTTCTTCCTAACTTTCAAGAATTGCCAGGTAAACTGCAGGGGAAGCTGTAAGATTTTAATGAAATGCCATGAGCCTCTGTGCTTCCTCGAGACACCATGTCATGGGTTGAAACAGAGGAATCTAAAAGCTATGATAATATGTATCAATATGATATGTCAGTGCGCTATCTGATAGCATGGCAGGG